GAGATTAATGTGGCGCCGCCTATCTACTATCGAAAGTCATATAAACAACGCATGGACTGTCACTCTGACGATTGGCCTATCGAATAAGGAAATACTTTCGATGGTAATCATGACGAAAAGATTGTTTTCTTACAACTTCGGTCACGTATGCAATTGCCCTAAAACACTATTTTAGTATTGTGCATTACTTTTATGCTATATCTAACAAATGGACTATCTAATTCGGAATCGTTTGCAATGAGTATCCTCTTAAAGCATACTTTTTCTGCAACCACATTACTTTTTTCATGATTGTGATTTATTATCTTTTGCACTGCAACTAAAACAGTGAAGAAAAATTGACCAATAGCTAAGGGTTCGCCAGTTGATGCTGCATTTATTACGATTATTTTTTTAAATTTGGCTTATATATAACATAAAAGAAATGGATATGTAGTGAAGCAATTTATTTCATTAAAAAAAAATAATTTTTAATAACATATTTTACATATATATATAAATTAAACACCAAGTCTGTAAAGTAATATCGCTGGTGATCTTACTTAAAACATTCGATAACTTCATAGATGCGCTTTTGATATTATTTAATGATTTAATGTAACAATAATTGTTTAAGGCAGCAATTTTTATTTAATACAGCAATTCGAAAGTTTGCTGCATAATTTTTCACCTTCCGGCGTCAAAAGAAAATTGTCTTTCCAAACTGCAACACCGTCAGCATTAGTTTTAAAATCGGCAGAGAGCTTTTCCCAAATTTTCTTTTTGGGATTTAATTGTTCATCAGGTGTTCCATTGTAGCCTTCAAATTCCAAACGATTGCCTGGAGTAGCAGCTGTTGGCACAATAATTGGCTCAACAACGGTGTGATCAGCGCTACAAAATAAAAAAAAAACAGTGAACCCAATTTAGAGTACCAAATTATGGGCATAAGCTCCATATGTACTTACTTTGATGTACATAATACCATACCCTCAGAGAGTATACCACGCATTTTAGATGGCTTGAGATTGCATAAAACAGCCACTAGTCGTTGATTTAATTCTTCAACTGTAACAAATTTTACCAGACCACTGATAATCGTACGTGGTTCCTTTTCACCCAAATCAATTTTGAGGACATACAAAGTATCAGCGTCGGGATGCTGCGCTACTTCAACCACTTTTCCAACACGTATATCTAAACGATGTGGACTATCTTCTTCTTGTGTTGACGGACTTGAATTGGCAATTTTGGTTTTCGCTGGTGGTGGATAAGCCGCTTCGCTTAATTTCCTAAAATTGTAATTGTAAATTTATTTAAAACAAAAATAGAAAATATATCATACTGAAGTTCTGGAGTTTCGAATGCTTTTCTGATGGGATCTAAAATACGATTTATATACTTTTCAACTGTTGCTTTCAGATCACCGGGATGTAATTTACTTTCCGCAAAGTATATTTCTAATTCTTTGTAATTGTGGAAAGTGATATCGCCACCATTTTCTTCTGTACGATTGATTTCGAAACCTTAAATAATTATCAAAAAAAAAAGATGAGTAACGTATTGAAGGTGATGAAATGATTACTTTACCTTCGCCTTCTTTAAACAGCGAAAACAATACATATTTAACAAAAGAGAGCAAACCATTGTCAGTAATATTACCGGGTTCACAAAATGCTCTTTTCAACTTCTTTTTAATGTTTGCTGGAGAGTCTAGTAGATCAATTTTAGAATCCACTTCAGAAGAAGACATTTTTCCACCAGCCAAACCAGGCACTTTAACGATTAATTAAGTTTAAAGAGCACAATTAGTTGATTATCAATTTATATAAATGCATATAAACATACCCATAGGATTCATAAGATGAATGCGCTTTTCGTATCCCAATTGTGGTAAGTACTTCTCAGCAAGTGCGAAGATTTTTCGTTGATCTACACCGCCGAATTGAGCATCAACCTTTAGATATTCTTCATCAAGCGCTTGCAAGCCAGGATATAACAAACCTGCTAGTAAAGGATTATCAACTTGTTTAACTACTTCAGCTCCGGCTTTTTTTGCGTCGTGTTGAGTTACTACTGAGCTCAGCCTGTAGACATCCAGTGTATATTCTTTGGATAACTGATAATCTGTGCCTTTAACAAATTTCAACTTTTCCAATGGCACATTAATAGAAGACAACATTGCCTTAATTACTGCCTCATAATATTTGGAACGTAATTCAAGTAGAGACCATGGTGCTTTCTGGTTATCCAAATAAGCATGTAAGTCAGCAAAAAGAATTGTGACCTATTTTTATACAAAAATATTTAATCATTCATCAGTAAATAATGATAAAAAAAACAATTTTTTTCTTACCTCGCATCCAGCTTTTAGAAAGTCAGCGACTTTGCACATCGGCACAAAGTAAGCTACATGGGGTTTTCCTGTCGTAGCAGTGCCCCAGTATATTTTCAAGTCCCGCTCCTTGAGTATAGTATTTAGCTTCTCCTCACCCAGCACTTCTTGTAAATTACGTGTGATAAATTCTTTCTTTTCTGCTGCCGTTAATTGCACCATTTTTACTAGATTGGCTATCAGAAACACTCGTGCTGAATCGAAAACGTGTCCACGCAATTTCGGCGAAAGTAACGAAATGAATGAGTAATTGTCTGAATGTCAAAATGTAACAGACGCGCCATCTACAGTTTGTCAACATGAGTGTAAAATGTAAATAAAGTATGTTTCTCTATGGCACCAAAATTCGTAAACAAAAAATTAACAGCTGTGTTGCAACTTCTCTTTTGCTCACATTTGTTGAACAACAGTCAGCTGTCATTTTATTTCGCCATGCACTGAAATTGTAAACATAAACAAGACACGTGAAGAGTTTTCAAACGACAATTGTGCAAATATTTTCTAATCAGATTTTAAACTTAAATTTTTATAATTATTAAAAATTAATAGTGAACAAATATGCCTGTGGTTGATATTAATAATTTAGTGCAAATACAAAAGAAAATAACACAAGTGCGAAATATTTGCATTTTAGCACACGTTGACCATGGCAAAACCACATTGGCAGATTCGTTATTGGTTAGCAATGGCATCATATCCCAACGTATGGCTGGAAAGTTGCGTTATTTGGATAATCGGCAAGATGAACAGGAACGTGGCATAACGATGAAAAGTAGCAGCATTTCGTTATATTATAAAGGGGTCACAAATGAGGAAGATTATTTAATAAACCTTATTGACTCACCCGGTCATGTTGACTTCTCCAGTGAAGTTTCAACAGCGGTTCGTTTATGCGATGGAGCTATTATTGTAGTAAGTTAAATTTATATTTTGAATCTACTTTAGAGTTTATTAGCAAATAGTTTGAAAAGCCATCAATACCTTCACTTAAGTCAATTACGATGTAAAATTAAGCTTCTTGTGTTGTTAGATATTTAAAAGTTGAAGCAAAGTACCATAGTTTAAAAATCCTTGGATATCTACAAAAAATTCGATTCCATTTTCCCGCTGAGTTTCAATATTAATAAGTTGTTAATGAATTTAAAATTTTTTTAGTCATATGTTAAAGCATCAAATACAAAAAATTCCTAAGCTGTCAAAAATTACTATGCACAGCGGCTAAAATGTAAATGTTAAGTTAACAGTCAACATTTTATGTAGTTTACATTTATTAATACCACTTCTAATACTATTTACACTTCTAATACTATTTTAATACTATGGAGACTAGATTCAGCAGCGACTTTGACGAAACTGCCAAAATGTAGATCAGAGGAAATAGATTTCGGGGTTCAAATCAATAGTAATAATAATGACTGTGATATAAACTACTTTATTATGTTAATTACGAATATATCGTTTAATGTTAAAAAAGAGAACAATAAAGCAGACTACTCAGCTTTTGGCACTTTTAAGCTAGCATTGACATTGATTGCAATATATCAGTATTAATTAAAGAAATTGTTTGCGTTGGACTTTTCGATTTAGTAGGTCTGTTCCACGAGGTACTCGTAGTAAAATTCAAGTAAAACACAAGTAAAGTACAAACTAAGAGCGTAAAACAAATAAAGTGTCAAATTACAGTCTTTACGAAAATTTTTATTGAACAGCTTTGTGTAAAGTCTGATGAGAAAATCAGTGCCGCGCAAATAAACAATACAAAAATTTAAATTCAAACCAAAACAGCTGATTTACACATCAACACAAATTTTACTTGAAGTAAAATCTACGAAAAAAGTCTGTGTAGCATTTTCAAATTTCAACAGGGATGTTACGTCCTCTCAGATCCTCTCATTTGCTTGAAAATTTGCTGGTGAAACGCGCTTGTGTATACACAGTGTTATTCAAAGTTACTATGAGTAGCTCGTGGAACCGACCTATTATGTTAAACGAAACGAAAAGTTTTTTTTGTTCTTAACCTCTATTTTAGGCACAATCCAATTAACTCTGATATGAATCAATTAGGTCTGATACAAGCTAATTAAGTGTGATGAATTAGCTCATTAAATATGTTTATTTATTTATCTCAAAGTTTATTGGAAGATTTGTGTCGGTGCTAATTGAAACTGGTATAGACAAAGATATTTTCCACTTCCATAGGATGAAGCTGTAAATCAATAAGCTCAAGTAAAAGTGTATAACGAAACAGATAGGTAGCGTTATAAGGAGTAGAACTGTAGTTAGAGCATATATTAGAAATTGATGAGTATGTGGCAGCACCAAAAAATATAATAAAAAGAACTGTCAACAAGGCACAAAGGAGACAACAATATCCGCAGTTCCCGCCAGTAGTAGTTTGGAAAAAGACAAAGCAGCACGTGAATAAAACGTAAAAACACAAATCTTAACTTTAAGAATATTTTATAATAACTAAGTATAAGAAATAAATAAACTTATCCATTACCAATACGGAGTGTTCAATTCGAAATAAACCCCAACATAAGAAACCACTACATTGGTGACCAAACCGACGCCGAATATATAAAAAAATGGCTACTCAAGAGCAAAAGATAACCGAAGACACTAACCCAATCAACGAAAACGCAACAATCACTGCAATAAAGCTGCCGATGCCAACATTAATAAAAAACAACATTGACCTTTGGTTTATTCAGTTGGACTACTGGTTCCAAGTCAACAACATAAAGGGCGATACTCAAAAGTTTGGCACAGTTATCGCAGCATTGGATGGATCGCTGTTAGAACAAATTTATAACACAATACAGAATCCACCAGCAACTCAGAAGTACCAAGCTATCAAGCAAGCAATAATAAAAAACTTTGCGGATAGTGAACAAAAACGCATACAAAAATTAGTTAGTGGTTTACAGCTTGGGGATAAAAAGCCATCCCATCTTTTAAACGAATTGCAACGTATTAGTGGAAGCAAACAAGACGAACAATTACTGAAAGGGTTATGGTTACAACGTCTTCCTGTAGAAGTACAGACATGTCTAGCCACAATTCAAGTGGAACTACCTAAGATGGCGGAATTGGCAGACAACATAACCGAAACAATCCGTATAAACTCAACAATGCAAGGAACTTACGTCAATGCAGCTAACGTCCCTGCAGCAGCTCATATTCAACGTGATGCACAAATCGAACAACTTCAACGAGAAGTGACCAGACTGACGAAAATGGTCTCGAAATTATCAACCGAACACCGCTCAAGAACAAATCAACGTTCACGTTCAATATCCAGAAACCAGCAATGTCATGATGATAGTGAAGAAAAGACCAGTACAAATTGTTGGTATCATAGAACATATGGGTCAAATGCAAAAAATTGCAAGCAGCCATGCACATATGGCACAAAAAACTAAAACCGACTTCGTCTACGGGAGGCGGCAGAGGAAGGTTGGGGTAAACGAAACAGGTCTACAAGACTGTTCGTCTATGACAATAAGACAAAAAAATCATTCCTAATTGACACGGGTGCAGATGTTTCACTTATTGCCGCCAAACAAAAAAATTCAAATACAAACAATAACAACGAAAGAATACTCTACGCAGCAAATGGTTCTACGATCAAAACATTTGGTGAAATAGAGATAACTCTAGCTCTTGGCTTACGAAGAAATTTCACATGGCCATTTATTATCGCAGATGTAAACACTTCAATCATCGGTGCAGATTTTTTAAATCATTTCGGATTAATAGTAGACATAAAAATGAAACAATTGATCGACACATCGACAAACATTTTCTCAGCCGCAAGCGAACGTAAGGTAAGTGCGAAAAAAATATCAACTGTGAACACATCTTGCAAAATTGCAGATCTACTAAAAGAATACATCGACATCACTAAACCAACACCGACAAATCGCCAGGTGATCAAAGTCACTCACCACATATTAACAAAAGGTCCACCAATATGTGAGAGACCACGTAGATTACCTCCAGACAAGTTAGCAGCAGCAAAAGAAGAATTCCAAAACTTAGTCACAGCCGGAATATGCCGTCCATCAAGTAACAATTGGGCTAGCCCCTTACATATGGTAAAAAAACCAGACGGTAGTTGGAGACCTTGTGGAGATTACCGTCGCTTAAATGCAATCACCATCCCAGATCGTTACCCAGTTCCTCATATACATGATTTTGCACACATGTTATATAACCAAAAAGTTTTTTCAACCATCGACCTGATTAAAGCATATCACCAGATACCAGTTGAACCGGGGGATATTCCAAAAACGGCGATCATAACTCCATTTGGATTATTTGAAT